ACCGTCGCGAGAAGGCAACAAGCGGATTCGTCGCGAAACCTCCCACGCCGAACAACTCGCGGAACGCTTAGTAGAAGTAGAGCCGGAACTAGCCAACATATCGCTCCACCAATACGCCTCGGCCCTCCGTTCCGCAGCCGAATTCGAGAGCAGGTGTACTCCGGAAAATTTCGACGTGGAGAAATTTTTTCACCTCGTCCGCCAATTCCCTCGCTCTCCCGCCCATCCACCTCCGGCACCTTCTTCATCCCAAGAAAATTTAAACCTGACAAACAATTCTGGGACCAAATCTCCAGGCATGCAATTACCGATACTGTCCCTATGTACATTTCCCGTGATCCTCTCCCCTACCTCGTCCCGATTAAGGCATTCCGCACCGCGCACCCCAATCCTCCTCCACACCTGCAACCCGATCCTATAGACATGTTCGCTATCACCAATTTTTTACCCCAACTTGAGCAACTGGGATTATAAGAGATTTTCCTTGCCCGCGGTCGTTTGTTTTTTTATATTTTTTATGTATAAGACTTCTCTTTGCTACCAATACTTCAACCTTTTTATGTACACGAACAGAAAATTGTAGCTTACTTTTATTATTTCTTATTAAATTAATTGATCAAAATTCGGTAGTAAACATTTTTTTCTCTCCTAAACTTGACCCCGCGCCGTTCCCGGCTCCCTGAGGATCGCACTAGGTCCATCCCTGGTCAAAGAGATTCGGTTCTCTGACCTAAAACGGACCGCCGAATAGCGCGGGCGCAGGTAAGGGTAATAACGTCGCCGACGCTGACCCGATCCCTGCCCCCCTTAACACGCGTTCGACTCGCGGATCGGCATCACGACGTCGTTCCGCGAGAAAAGGAGAGGTTCCGTGCGTCTACCCGAGTTCTCCTCCTCCTGACGAGAGATATTATCTTTCGTCCAGAACACGGACGTAACAGAATATATGCGCGCGATAGAAAAGCGTATCATTTCTGTACCTCTGAGTATAATCTGAGAATATATGCGTGCGAAAGAAAACCGAATGATACTGTCCGATATGTTCTAGTGTGGATCTCAGTACGTTACAGATAATCACAGTACTAACAGTACGAAAATAGGAGGATTCGCAGTATGTCGTGTGCTGTTAGGGTAATATATAAATGTAATATATAAATGTGTATGTAACAATTATATTGTTGAACGAGACACTAAAAAGATTTGTATAGGTTATAATAAATAATTTTACCTGTTTTATATAATTTGCTTCTTTCTTTAGCATAATATTTTCGTGTTCTCTTTTTCAAGTTTACCCAACAATTTTTTAATGTTAATGTATCACGAAATATTCTTGATTCATTATTAAATTTTTTGCAAATTTTGTCCCCACACTTATTTTTTTCTTTTGTGGATATAGCATCAGTTCTTTTGTTTTCTATTATATTTTTATATTGTATCATCAATTCTATCAATAAATATTTGTAAGAAGTTCCTAAGGCAACCGGTGGATGGCGCCAAGAGTGCTGCTCGGCGATCAAAAAGAACGGCTCTCGATCGACCACAGCGCTGTCATGCGATACATCGAGACGATCAATCAGAAAAGGCTGATGCAATTGTATTTGTGATTGTATTTGTTTTAAAATCATCGAACGTGCTCCAATTGTTCGGAATAGCGGGCGATAAATACTCTCTCTTCGGCGGATTGGACAGACGTGTCATCCGCGATAGTCGAAACTTAATCATAATCGTAGTCGAGTCATCATGTGAATCGATATCTTAAGATTGTCGTTGTATTTCGAGCAGAGTTCGTCAGTGAAAATACATTTTCAGTATTATATTGTTAAATTGCCTACAAGTTATTGTGCCTGCCTTTCCTGCTCCATTATCCATCACGTGGCTGTTAACTCCTCTGAATGCGCGTATTAATCGAACCTACAGTATTTGAAATAACGGACACCAATTCCTGACAAACTGTTACTTTATTCAAATATTCAAATTCAAAATAACAAAGAATCTTACATATTTTTCTGTATTGAGAAAATTTGTTCCTCTTTTTTTCAGCATTTTTATTAATTTTTATTAATTATATTAATTTTATATTAATAAATGATTACAAATCCTTTCAATAATCATATCAATAATCACAGTGAACTGCTGATCAATTTATGCATCGTTTTATAAATTTATGTTCATCGACCAATTATTACTTGCCAAAAAAGTTTTAGCACATAGGGTATAAGTTTATTTAAACTCTTCTCAAGAGATGGTGGAATACGATTATATATAAATCGAGCTTAAATCGACGTGTATTAATCAACATTTAGATGAACTTAGATTAACAGTCACTAATAGTGAAAACAGGCATTACCCGATAAGAACAGGCACGTGGATTTCACGTTGTATCCACGTGTTTTATGTAGATTACGCAGACAAGACTATATCGACATGATATTCACATGAATTCTATATAGATACTTCCATATAGATTTTAATACATGTGGTCCACGTAGAATTACTGATGAAATTTAATGTAGATAAAAATAGGAGATAGCAACATAGAATTCATGTAAGTAAATTCATATCGATTTTCATCTTATGCAATCTACGTTGAAATTTTGTTATATTGATGACGCAGACATAGACACACTAAGTTCACAAAAAATTCTTCAGATAGCTTCACAGAAAACATAAAACTTAAGTTTAGATGAATTTTTTATATTTTAAAATCTATATCAATCTTTATCCCATGTATCAATTTTGTAATTGTTGTAAACAAGTGTTGTATTCAATAAATAAACAGATTATTTAATAGTATTTCATTTTATTATTAAATGTAACAACTAAATATCTATTTTAAATTATAATCTATTTATTTTAAATAATAATATATATAATTTAGATATATAGATAATATATAAACACTCAATTACAATTAATATTAATGAACACAAATTAAATTATAACGTAAAAAGAAAAGTCACCGAACAATTATTTTATAAAGCAAACAAGCTTATGCGATTTCATACCAGATGAATTTTTTTGTAATTAACATATAAATAAAAACATCTAAACAAAATAAGTTTATATACACAAATTACATTTTAATACGTAGCTAATGATAATATATATATTAATAAAAATAAATTGAAACGAAGAAATATAATAATAATTTTCTTTTATTTATTTATATATTCAACATTGATGAACTATCTTACAGAAAAGTTAAAAAATTAATACTTGTATAGAAATTAAAATTAAACACTTATTAAATTAATTCATAGAAAACAAATTTATTTATTTTAATAAAAAGAAAAATTATTATAAAAGAGAAGAATTATGAAATATAGAGATTATTTCATTCTTCATTCATTATTAATTATTGAGCATTTTTATTATTTATTAATATTAATAGTATACAAGAAACAATACATGGAATAAAGGTTTATGTATATTGATAAAATATATATAATTATATATAATATATATAATTAATAAAGAAAACGAACAATTCTATTTTTACATTCAAAAAATAAAAAGAATTGGAAAGCTTCTTATTGTTATAATTATAAAATTTCAGAAAGTGGTATTGGAAGACACACACCCTTTGAAGTGATACAATTATTATCTTCCCTATATTTTTCAGAAAAAGGTAAGAGCACTATTTTTTTTTTAATATCATCTATATGCCATTTTTTAGTGATCCAAGAGTTTTCACAATATATATATTAAAATATTTCGAAGAAAATGGATAAGAAAAAAGATCACATTTTTTTAAATCTTCTACCAATCAAGTAGATTTCTTCATCACATTTTATAATATTTTCAATTTTAACTACTTCATTGA